AACCAATATTGTCCCTGCCTATAGTTTTGATTTCGCTCATTAAAAGAGAGCTTCATCTGCGTAATATACTAGACTGCGATACTTAGTACATAAACCAATAGCAATAGAAATGGCTTCAAACTGTAAGTGAATCTCGAAATGGAATTCATTAGGACTTTCTCGTAACGAACGGTTTTGAATAATAAAATAATCTGAAATTCGGAATAGTAATTTATTTTATACGACGATCGATATTTTATGATGTTTTAATTATCTCCTAATGGGATATAGGCAATTTTCGAATCGATTTGCTGGACGGATTCACAGAATCATGTCCTTATAGAAAGAAGTATTTGATAAATCACAAATTACTTCATATAAAAAAAATGATTCTCAAGCATTTCGATTATCAATTAATAACGATCGTGATCTTAAAATTAACTGGGGACCATTTACTGATTTAAATCCCAGTAAAATCATTATATTACTCAATTCCTAGCATTTATCATGTTGGCAGCCTACAGACCGTGTCATTATTGCTGACTTGAATTAATAATCCTTTTGCTAAATAAATATCAAATATCAAAAAAGAATTTGAGACTTTTGCAGCTAGCCAACAGTTTTGGAAAATACCCAAATCACAAAAACATTGGCAGGTAATGAAATCTTACAATCTGCAAATATGATTTTTCAAAAACTCCAAAATTACTTATTTAAAGCTAATCTGATTTACAACCTTTTTGTGACATAAGACAATTGTCCGATTGAGTGACGTGCATAGTTAACAGTAACCTTTTCCTTATCAAATACATTTTCCAATAGAACACCACCCACATACATTTGTAAATCAAACAATCGAAAGCCTGGACTTACCAGTCTTTTAGCTGAACCAATATGTATAAGTGGTGCCGCTTCTACGAGTGTTTCAAGTGGACCAGTCTTGACGATGCGATCTCGAGGTCTCTATTTATGATACCACTTCCGAATAAATTGGCATTTATGGTTAAGAATGAGATGGCGTGTTGATGTTATGTCATCAACTGTCATTTTGAAAATTAAAAAAGTTACCCAGAATCCATCATTTTCTTTTTTATTGCCTATTTTGACTGTGATAAATAACATAGCTCATAAATTATGGACAAATTATACCCTTGTTAATTAGAAACACATATCTCATCTCTATATTATCCCCATGGTTATCATTAAATCTGACTTTCTATACATTAATATTGCACAATAGATATCAATCCCACAGGAGAACGAGGCTCATCTATCTTCTCTAAATCCCTTAGATCCAACCGTCCAGTAGAGATAACTTGAAATAGATTGATTTCCCAGTAAGCACTTGGCCAGATCTTTACAGTACACAGTATATTTGTGTCATCTTAACTTACCGAGTGCACCATTATCTATTCTTGGGTTCCATTTGATATTTTACAGTTAAATAACGTTTACATCGTGACATTTTACTTCCTCATTTGGAAGGTAGTCTTAGGATCACGAAATTTATGACCGCATTTTGTTTTTAAAGGGAGCACTGTACCCCATGTAATTGACAGTAGGTAAGAGCTATGTAGCACTCTACCTCTGTTGTGGTTGATGTCTTTTCGGGATGTTTCCTCACGAAAAATAAATGTTTAAATCATACATACGACGCCACCATTGCAGAGTTATATCATTCTAGTCCGTCTATTTAGCTTCGGGGAAGTGTTTGACTAAGTGATTTATTTCAAAGATTTACACGAATTTATCAAACTCACTTGTAGGTCAAAAGGGTTTGGTGCTGTTTATTGACAAATTGCTTTTGTTTTCAAAGTGGGATTCAAATCCCAAGAAATCACCATGGCCATCGTTATCAGATAACTATATAGTATCAGATAATTTGCAATCGCTGGTCCTGTGGCATCGCTGACATCAATGCTAAATTCTGTTTTGGAGGTTCAACAAAATCTGCTGATTATACACGATTATAATTACATATTGGAATCTGAGCACGACGCTCTTTTAAAACCCATGTCAGCAAGACCAGACTACATTTACCTACCATTAATTACTTACTATTATTCAAGTATAGGTACAGTAATCTAAGTATAGGGCTTCACTTGCTCAGCCGTTTTACACTTTAACTAAATATTCCACTGATTATAGACGACGTGTGACCGCGATGCCTCATAAAAACGGGGAAGGCGTACTTTCAAAGAAAATAAGATTGGTTCTCATGTAGTCTGGGTTGCTTCCACCTCATGCAAACTAAATTTACACTAACCTTTCATTCTATTTCAATGGTCCTTGCTCCAAAGGTATACACTTCTACATTCTATTATATTTAAGAATAAGTAAGCATACGCATGTTCACAAATGTTGATGTATTATATTGAAACTATAAAACTATGTAATGAAAATTTTAAAGAATAAAAAATAAATGTAATACAATGGCTTACCTTTTAGTTTCAGGAAAACACTATTTCTACCTGCAGTGTCTTTGGTCAAAATGACATTGTGTGTCCAGTTTTAAATGATTGACATGTACAATTGTGTGTTTACGAGAATAATTGGATATGAGAGGCGATATTTGGTTTATTCTTGTGGGTTTTAATAATAATGAGCTCGTTAGAACACAGTTGGAAACAAAGCCCAATTAGAATCAAAAGTCCAAATATCTTAATTAAAACATATTATAATTAATATATGAAATATCCTTTCTCATACTGACTATTGATTTATAAATTGTAATAAACACAACATACAGTACGTTTAGAATTATAAAGCATTCGTCTGCTAGTGTTAAACAAATCACACATTGATTTATAATAATTATTATGACCTTTGATGCTTGACCGTGGTCTACTGCCCGTGCGTGACAATCATATCAGTTATCTGAAAATTAGGCTCACACAAATTAATCTGTGATTCGCGGTGCCTCACAATATCTTCTAAATATGTATGGACGGACTCATTTCTTTCTTGGTTATTCACACTTTTTGATCGGTAATCTAATTTTTGCAATTTTTAGAATTGTAAATCGATACAAAGGCCTTCAGATCAGATCGACCAAAATACAATAACAGACAATGCAATCTATCGGTTGTATTCCATTCTTCAACCACTTTGAGCATTACATTCTCGTCTGACAAATTGGGAACACATTATTGCGTGGGGGAAGGTTTGTCGACAGTCCATTAGTAAGAGCACCATTAATCGTCTTTAGTTAAACATTCAGTATTTGGTATTATGTCAAACATTGGGCTATTTTACTTTCGCTATTATACAACTTACATTGTCAACATTTGGATTTGCTTCTTTAATGTTATCAAGCTATAATTTGTTGTCTTAAGTGTTTTTTCTGAATACATGGTATAAAGCGTTTCGTAGCCAATAGTCTGACTTTTCATACACAACTTAATTTATTTTGCAAAATCGTAATGCTGCAGTATACACGTATTCAAGTCTTATGAATTAAAAAACGTGTACTTCATATGTTCATGTTAAATTAAAAAAGTAGTTGTATACAGTAAAACCATTCTTAGTGAACACCTCCCTTTAGTGAACAGTGAACACATGTCTCTAGTGGAAATCCTTCCTCCGGGCATACTCTACTGACTTCTGTATAAATTACCCTCTGTAATGAACACCTGCCAACACTGAACATTTTTTCTCAGCGAAAAAAGTTCAATATACACAGGTTTTACTGTACATGTTATCTTCCCAAGCGGAGAAAAAGAGACAAGACCGGTAAAACGATCATTTAACAGTTGTACAGTTAATAGTAAAATCCCTAACATTATGATTATTCGATTAAGCCAGCAACATCAAACGAGGAGTCTTATTACTTCTTGTTCAAATCAAAGAACGTGGTTTTACCTTTGGCAAAAAAACTTTCAGACACTCGTGCCAATGTTGGCTTCTCCTAGTTTACGGATTATAAAAATCGGGTATACATATCTTATCGACTAAACGTACACTGTGAATGACTATAAGAACAAAATCAAATATTAAAAAAGATTTGGATCATGCATCTTTTACTTAAAACCCTTAAAAAGGTGAATCAATGAATGGTATGCGGTATCGTCCCTATAGTTCCAGGTCAGTTCTCCCCTATGTATATTTAGATGGCTTTTAAATCCTTTATGATTCGCCGGGTTATAAATTTTCATTTAACAATTTTTCTAAACTTAACACGCCCGAGACTGGAACGAAAATTCCATATTTCACACCATGAATTGTACTTTCTTTTTAGTTATGTTAACTAGTATCGCGTTCGTTGGTAGACTTGCCAAAGGCGTAGGTTGCAAATTAAGTCAAAAGTTATGCATTTCAATAGGAAAATTACCACATCATTTTACAAGTCATGGGTTTATCTGATATGGCAAAAAGAATGTTAAGGTTTCTAATTAGCAATTATATTCCCATTATGTTTTTTTAAAGGACTTCAGGTGAAAAATTCAATGAATGAGGCTATGTCTTTTGCTTTAACAGTGGCAACAGATACATTCAAAATACATCCAAAAATCGAAACATATTGATTACTATTCATTCAGGTCCTGGTAGTACATATGTTGAAGTAGTAAGTTGTAAGTAGTTATTAAATAGTACATACAAAACACACAGTCTCGTTTGATCATTTTAGAGCATCTTAATTAGATTTTACATAGATAACACGCCCTTTCAAATTTGAAATAGCATTTGAATAATACTCTCTGTTTAATAGTTTGGCTTATGTTCAAAACGGAAGTTAAATGTCATATTTTTCGCAGATAGTTTTGATAAAATGACAAGTTTAAAATACAGCAGCCTGGCTGTCTCATGATATATTTACATTAAAGCTTCTAACCATTTGACACTAAAACTAAGAAGCCTTGCAGATTCTTCTTAGGGAATGTACACATTAAGTAACACGTGTAAAAACCAGAAACAGCCGAGGATTGCATTATTCTTCAAATACTTAAATGTGACATCTTAATCTAAAATCACTTTACGATCTGATACAATCTTCCTGCAAATTAAAAAAATGTTCTACTCACCAAAATTGTGAAGATGTATCATTATAGTAAATTTGGTCAACGAGATTCTCCCACTCGTTAAAAGCCGCACCCCATATGAATAACATACGTGTGAATCGATAACCGCATTTTTTGTATTCAAAAACATTTCTTTCATAAAAGTTAAGGTTAGCATGGATCAACTTCTTTTGTCAACATGTTCATTCACAAGTGCAAAACATTGAAGAGAGTATTTGTTTGTACACAAAACAACACATTATAGAAGCTAAAATAAACCTACCAGATTTAATTCCTTTCGCCAATTGTTTCTTTACTTGTTGGGGAGCTCTCACATGTTCATTCAACAATTCCGACCGCTGATGTTCGCGACCCTCTATAAACGAACCACTCTTAAAATCATCTCATCTTTTTTAATCGTGGGTTTTTATCAATAGCGTATTTCTGAAGCGTTACCTGAAGCGCCTTGGCTTTGTGATATATGTGTTTAAGATATGCTTCACTTTGTATGTGTCTGTCATGACACTTCGCGCAATTAGAAATATATAAAACGCAGCATACATTTACAAAAACAAAATGATGATCGCGCATATGAAAAATAAATCTTTTTAATGTTATCGTTTTTGCTCATGTGATACAAATGTTTTTAATGTCTAAAAGAGGTCGCTATTTACATACATTTAGTTTCATTTGTAGATGTGGAACTCTTCTCTTAAAGGTGCAACAAGTAGTGCAGAGGGGCCATTCAACGATCATGGACCAGTGTCAAAATATATTTAAGTTTGGATATTTCATCAAGACTAACATCTATTTTTATTTTCTACAAAGAAACCCCCTAGATAATCATTATTTCAGCTTATATTCCTCTTGAAACATGGTGGATCTTAAAAATATAAAAGTGGACGTCCACTTTTTCAAGCTTTGAACTGAATTTACACTCTTTAATGCCGAAATTGATAGTTTATCCATACATTTTAAGAAAATAGGTATGTCAAAGAAGATGTTAAGCCAACTGTTGCCTTGATAGCTCAGAAAAAGTTAAAATTTTCCTATTTTCTCTCTACAAGCCTTATTGCCCCTTTAAATATGCTTTCAATATTTAACTATAGATGATTTTCTAGTCTAGAACAGAAACAGTATCGTTTTATATGTATTCGATCATTGCAACGTAGTGTACGGAAAATATATTTTTCGTTTTTTGATAACAGAACAATTGTTATTGGAACAAACCATTAAAATTTGTATGGTGATTTGTATCATATTTCAAGCAATTTGGGCCACATTATACGATGATGCACAATCCTCATTTTAGAAGAAGTATTGCTTGCCATCTTTTACATTATTACAAAACTTGTTACTTTGGTATGAAGAAATTATATATTCCTCGGGAAAGCTCAATATGTTCACTTGAGAGGTCAACAATCGACATATGTCTCCATAAAAATTAAAGAGCCGCCAAAATCAAAAGATTTGACCTCTTTTGCATCATCTATTTGAATTTTCAACGGATTTCAACGAAAGACCACCACAACAAACGTCAACTTTTTTAGTAGTAAACCAAATTATTTCGTCTTCGTACGTTTTTAAGAACGTATTGTAGGACAAACAAAATGAAATGAAAATTCTGTATATTTTCACAAGTGATTGCACTGACAAAAGTTGTTTCATTCAACCATATCACACCAATTTTAGATTCAAATTAATTTTGTCTTACAGTGAATGTATTATTATGGTATCATGGCATATCTAGCCGGGACGTCGCGACATCTATCAATGCAAAGTGAATATACTTATATATATATACAAAGTGAAGTATATATGAACAAACGTGTCATCGTTTCGACAGTTCACTAGTACATCCTAAAGTTTGGAAACATTCATTCCGACATTGATTAAAGATTTGACTTAATAGCCGGGGCTAAATATGTGTTAAGAACCAAACGGAACGACATCAGAGGCTTAGTATGGCCCTTGATACACTTGTGGATGTAGGGAGCGAGCTTTCTCAAACCTTTGCCGCATTTTAAAAATTTCTTCGCCGTTTTGCGGTTATTTTGCTCTGTATAACTGCATTTCGTTCACGTCATTAGCGCTATAGCTATATAATATACTACTACATGTAATTGGTAAAGTTAAAAGTATGATAGGAAGTTTGAAGTGGCGATTATGGTAACGGATAACTAGTACCACTCTTCATGGTAAAGAACAGATATCGAGTTATAAGCCTGGAGCCCATCCCTCGCCATGCCATCAACTAAACCTGTTGTGGGGATTTCCGAAGCCATGTGTCTCCCCTTTCCAATGGTATGTCATTTGTTCATATCTGACTATGGACTACTAAATGATTATTGTTTTTTTCGCATGGTGAAAAGGCATTTGTGCAGTTTTGAAATATCCTCAGTCAACTAATCCCATTGTGCAATCGGATAAATCATGTAATTGAGACTGGAGATTAGATTCTGGTCACAAGAGTTACATAACACAAGTTTCAGATTTACATTCACTAACTAAGAAAAAAGTGTTCATCACTATCCTTGATGGTTCTGTTAACGATACAAACATATTATGGAAAAAGAAGAAGTGGCATAAACAATTAAAGTCAGTAAAGTCACAATCATTGCCAGTGTCCGTCATCTCATGAGAGATTACTCATGAACGAGTACAATCCACGCCCCTTCATACTGCCACCATTTCTCTACACAGAGAGATTAATTGGCTCGTCTCTTCTGTCTCCATGTGACGGATACCTCTTTGAATCATCTGTGGGTTCTGGTGGGGAGCAGCAACCTCGTTGGTGATTCTCTTTGAACTGTTGTAATGTGTTTTTACACTAAACGAAAATATTGCAATTTATGGTGCATTATGGGTAGGGACTGCTGTGAAATACGAAGTTTGAACTCATCAAATTGCTGGATTTATCACACAGCGCAAAAAAGGAGGATTGGCAGCCATTATTCAAACTCAATACGCCGTTGCCCGACGTGGAACAATTTAGTAAAAATATTTCTTTACAATTCTCCACCGAGTCTAAATACGTCTTCCAATCCACCCTGGCCATTGCATTTCAGCGTCATTGAAGGGCATGTGGCATGAATGAAGGGCATGTGGCATGAATGAAGGGCATGTGGCATGAAGGGGACAAGAAGGCGTATTCTATTTCAGAAATTGTGGAGGATGAAGAAGATGTAAACAATGTTTTAATGACGTACTTCAGATCGTGTCACTAAATATGACAAATACGTTGCCAATAATTGACGTCCGCGCATGTTTTTAGTTACGTTCGAAAGTTTAGCACATCGTTAAAGTGCGTCATTTTATTATATGGACAGTCTATCCATATTTATCGCATCAAACATGTAACATGAATCATATATAGTTAATTTTTGAACGTCATTCGGCGTTTGTTTTTGCAACTCTGTTTATAGATAGTTTGATTGGATTTTTATGAATTAAACATAAAACAAACGTAAGGGCGTTGTGCACAACACCCGGTCTTTCGATCAGGTCATACCTATTTGATTGGCTAGTTCGTCGTTTACTATTTTAACAATTGATCCACTTAATTGTATACAAACTATGTTACTATAATTTGTTGATATATGCTTATAAATATTTAGCTTTTTGAATTAAAAGCTAATAAAGCTAATAAAATCAACACTGTATTTTTAGAGACATGTGCAAAAGCTACCTACGCATTTGCAATTTATTTGGCAGATGTAATTTCACCTTTTGGCATCTCAAACGTACGTCTGAGCTGCTCGTGTATGATTGATTATTATATTAAAGCCGTAACATTACACTTCTAGTGTACCTTATCTCACTCCCAATGGCTCCTAGAGCACTATGCAAAATCATGATTATACACTTGAGTATAGAAAATGTTGCCGATTGTGACAGAAAGTGTCGTTTTCTAATACCAATAATGGATACTAATATACTGGAAATCCGATGTGTCTAATATTTGGTCGTATAACATCTGACATTGTTAATGTGTGTTTGATTTACTCTATGAAATATTATGAATGATGATTCTATCAAGATATGTTAATCCAAACCAAATTACAGACTGAAAGTATGAATAATACATGACTCTAACAAGTAAAAAGGCGTACATATATCGTAGACCGTATGATGGAGCTAAATATAAGTGAGGTTATTCATTTCGTCGGAGCAAAATTTAGTTAAAGGGGATGCTATCACAAACTCCATTTTATATCCTCATCCCTGGTAACGCCAAAATAAACTCGGAGTTTCAAAGACCCGTAAAAATTCCACTAGTTTGTTTTTTGGCCGTCACCGAATTTTCCTGTTCTTTTAGAATGAATCCACGTGTACATTCTCGAATCTTTGACTATTAACAAGCATGGATTTAACGGCAAATTTGAATTTGAATTCGTGATCTTGGAATACCAATAATTGAATACCAATCACGATTTCCAAGATCACGAATTCAAATTCAAAATTGCCGTTAAATCCATATTGAGCTTGTATATTCAACACCATTTTTTGTATAGCACTGTCTACATAGGATGGAGCAATGGCGACAAAAATGGATGGTCACAAACACGATCTGCTTGATGATTTAAACAAGAGAAGGGGGTACTCATGCCTGTTAATAATCAAAGATTCGAGAATATACACGTGGATGCATTTCTAAAAAAACAGGAAAATTCACATTCACATATGTGTCGACGATTTCTATGAAAAGGATGTGAAATAGTCTTGTACTTCACCTTACAGAATAAGGAACGTTCAAGATTCATTGAATCCTCACGTTTTAAACGCAGGGTTTGAGTATCATTATTCAGAGTGAAATATTCATTCATATCCAATTGTATTTTACAAAACAAGATGACTAAAAAGCATCGACAAGAAAATGCCATCATTCCGATATCAGTTTTGTCAAAGTTATCCTCAGAATTAGTAACATTATCTTCAATATACGACGAACTCTCATTTAATGGCACCACAATGAGATAAAATAACGCAGAGAACAAAAAAAACATTTTTTCATTTCCTTTCGGCGCTATATTAAAGGGAGATTAAGCTATTTAAAGGAGTTTATCAGTGCTTTTAACATAACTAGTTCCAGAGTTCCACCATCAGGCATCGCCGTTTGATCTCATTATCA